CTGGTTTCGTCATCAATGCAATTGTGCCGGCCTGATGGTGAATTGCCAAAAACACTTGTTTGGCAAATAGGTTTTTCAATTTAAAAATGGGAATAATTCTTTATTTTTCGTTGCGGGCATGCCTGTCAGTGCCACAATGTAGAGATTCGGTGAGTGTGGCTAGTTGTTCGATACCAAGACGTCGTTGTAACATCATACTAAACATTGTCTAACTGCGTATTCGAGGAAAGATGGTAAGGAATGCAAGAATAAATGGTCGGTAAATTGCTTCTGTGGTACGGAATGCATAAAATCTGGCACGATGACTTGCATAAAAAGTTTTACTGAGGAGTGCTGTCTGAGAAGATATTAACCGAAGTAAAAATTGTCCTTTATAGATTACGTAGTTTATGCTTCTCGATGATTGAGTGCTCCTCGTTATGTCACAGTCAGCTCTAAATATTAACAGGAATAAGCCTTCTACTGAAAATATTATATTAATTCGTTTACTGCAAGTAAATATTGTCTAGATCGATATCAAGAGGGTCTTGAAATACATTGCAAAATATAAATAGCTGTAACGTACTGCTCGCTTGCTGGTGAATGGCAGTTTCACTTACACTAGAAAAAGTTTAAAAACAGTGTTATCGGGAGATGGGATCGTTCGGTTAACCGGTCTGAAACAAACAACTAAAGAAATTGTTTCTCCATCAAAGCCTAAGTGGTAATGATATTTTTCGTTTGAAATACTCATTTTTGAATCTGCGCCTTTCTCAAAACGTAAATAAAGAATGAGAAATATCTTAATTTAATGTTGTCTTGGAACTTCGTATAGCGGGACTGGACTAGGACTGCAACTCATCTTTTTATCTCAAAAAGGTGGTTATTCTAAGGAAATCGGAGCCCGGTTTACGATTCATGCTCCCTTGCGTAATGTAAGTGCAGTTTTTCGTTTATTTTGGACAGGTCAATTGCAGAGCAAGCAGTTGGAAATTCTTTGGTCAGCGGTATAGAAAGGGGATACAGGGATAAATGAGATTAAAGCTGCCAAACTGGCCTATGGCGCTTATGCCAGAAAGCCTGAAGTAAAGACGGTTAGGCCCACTACGACGGTCATGCCAATGTTGACGAACAGCGCTTCCCGTGGGTCCTGTTCGATGCTCAGCTGTTTCCGTGTTAGTTCCATTATTTCCTCAGCCTCTACCTCAGTGTAGACTGGTTCTTTGGTATCCTGCATGTTTTCAATGCCGCAGAACCAATTGATTATCTGTTTCCACCAGGGAATTTTCGGCCGTTCCATGTCACTCTCTGTAGAGGGCAAAAGCAGCATGGTTTTTAGACACTGAATAGAAGGCTTAGATATATATACATATCAAAAACTGCTCCAAAAACAGGTCACTGTGCACAAAAGATACGTGTGCTCACCCTCACTGTACGCATCTGTCTCCGCCTTCGAGACGATGGTTAGCTTTGGACCGTCAAGCTCAGTGTCAAACTCTGCATGCCTCTCAGAGAAGATAAGGCGTCTAGTCTACAAAAGTGCAATGTAAATTACGGTTATAGCATTGATAACTTTTCGGAACAAATATATTATATTTTGAGTGTATCGGATCAACAAAATAAAATAACCATATGTACCAGTTTTTCAACATTATCACATGATTTTTTACTCAATTTGAACTCCTATTTCGACTTTTGATGTTTGAGTGCGGAGCAATTTTCCTGATATTGGATTTAAATATACCTTTTTTGGAAGAGGAAGGCGTTTCGATCACCGGAATCATAAGTGTATTCTTCTAAGCTTTAGAGCTATTGCGGGAATATTCTATACACATATCTGGAATACAAAAATTTGCTTCAATATACTTATTTTATCCATTCTTAGTGAATTGCATCATCGAGGTTCGCTTCCGTGCGAGAACTCTAAAACCCGGAATAAAGAAATAACTTATCGTGTTCATCATCCTCAGAAGAGGAAGAAGAAAAGGGAGCAAGTGCTGAGATCAAACTGTATTTTTTCTGACGTTTCGAAAACATACTCGTTCTCATCGTCAGAGCGTGGTGCTTCCTCTTCCGCCGGCCTTGAATAAATGCGCCTCGCCGCGAGCCTGGTGTTGTACCCATGTCCGATGCACGTGCGTTCGAAAGCCGATCGTCGACTGGCACAATAAACAATGCCATCGAGTTGAACCCCGCCTACCAAGCGAACCGCGCAGGGCTCACGCCCGCACAGAATAGGGCGATAGGGAGGGCGAACAAATATACGCAGAACCGACAGCTGAGTCCGCGAGAGGAGGTGGCAGCGAGCGTGCGTCACACTACCAGCGAGACGGTGAGGCCACTGAACGAGGGGGAGGCAGAGGAACACGCTGATGCAGTGCCAAGGATAGTTGAGAGGATGCCACCAATCAATAGACAACGGGCGAACGAACGCACGTGCATCGGACATG